AAGAAGTGATTTGACAATTGGGAAATAAGTAAGGGTTTGGTGGATTGTTACCTCAGGCGTGTTCCGGACGAGAAGGGATTCATGGTTGGGTCCGTGGTTGAAGCTCCGGGAAAGCTCTATCGGATCCGCAAAGGGGAGGCAAACCTAGCAGCAGCAGGCGATCAACCAACTGATTCGGACGGCAAATTGGACAGTCCGAATTCGGAATACGGGATCCGAATACGTTATCTGAGAGATCTGGGGAAGAAGTGTAGAGAGAGAGAGAGGAAGAGAGATTCGGATCTGAGAGAGAGAGAGAGAGTATTTTGTGATGAGTTTTTCTCTCTTGTTTCAGGGTCCCTTCCTTCCACTTACCATGAAAATGCTCCTTTTTTTTTTTAATTTCTTTGCAAAACAGAAAATAAAAAATAATAATAAAAATGTGCACCAAAAAAGAAAAAGAAAAATAACTTATATTATAAACCGCGCGGTGCACACATCAATTCTCTTCGAGTGGTGATAGAGTTACCCGCTGTTGTGAGTTGGATGGGTCGCCCTCGCCTTCGGCATTCAGTAGATGAACATTTCTCGCTAAAACAATTTAAGCTTCACATGGCCCCGAGGAAGCCCAAAGAAGCCAATACATGGCCAAAGTGTTGGGATTGGAGGACATCATTGTGGAGTCTGATTCTAAGGAGAATATCCTTAGTTTGGATCAGGGCTCTACGCGGGGCAGCTGGGAGGCTTTCCCCGTTATTTCTAAGGTATTACGGCTTAGGGGAGACTTTCAGGATTGCCACTGGTCTTGGGTTCCAAGATCGGCCAATTCGGCGGCGCACTCGTTGGCGTCGAGACATAAGAAGCCAATACAGTAACAACAACCACCAAATATTATTTGACTAAATAGGATTTGCTATATAAATCTTAAAACATTATTTCGCTCAGTTTTGCGTAAAGCATTTCGTTAACCTTAAGTATTTTCTTATAATCTCTTGTCTTTTTAATTCCGCATATGTAAAATTATTTTACGCTGTCGGTTTCAAACCCGAATAAAGAATGAGAAAAAAATACATCAGAAAGTCGACAGCCGACACTTTATTCTTCACGTCGACTACCTATAATATGAATCTTAAACAGAAAAGAAGCCAATATTGTAACAAATTGTAAATTTAAAGGGATAGATTTAAAATTTTGAAAACATGGATGAAATTGTTACCGGACGCAAAATCATGGTGGTGCAAAATATAATTTACCCCTTCCATTAAAAAATTAATATATATGCATATTATTGTAAATATTCCTAGTTTAAATTTGATTGTGTAAATCCTATATTAGATTTTATTCCAGTTATTCTTTCCTATTACAACTTGCATTACCTGGGGAATAAGGAATATCTTATCTCCTTTTACAACTATAAATAAAGGCACAATGTATGATGGATAATAACACACATTCCTTTACAATTCTACAAACACCTCTCTCAATCTCTCTTCTTTCCTTCCACACTTTGGTCACACGTGTGCTTGTTGTCCACAAGGAACGCTACATTTTCCAAATTGTTGGCTTAGGTTATGAAGCTCAGGGCTCACCACCTTGATTATCCAATCAAATTTATTTGATTAGATCATGCTGGAGAATTCACATCTAAAACTTTTGATGACTATTGCATGTCGGTTGAGGTTGAATATCTTGCACCCCATGTTCACACCTAGAACGGCCTGGCTAAGGCTTTCAATAAGCGCTTACAAATGATTGCTCAACGTTGTTTATACATACCAAGCTCCCGATCGCTGCTTGGGGCTATGCAATATTGCACACAGCAAAGTTTGTTTGCCTGAGGTCTGTTGTGACACAACCATTTAGTGTCATTCAGTTGGTTACTGGATACGAACCCGACATATCGCATCTGCACGTTTTTTGTTGTGCGGTATATGTGCCGATCTCGCCGCCCTTACATACAAAAATAGGGCATCAGCGAAGGATGAGAATCTATGTCGGATATGATTCTCCTTCGATTAGTCGTTACTTAGAACCTTTGACAGGCAATCTGTTTACTGCTCGCTTCGCGAATTGTCACTTTTATGAGACAGTCTTCCTGTTTTTAAGAGGAGATAAGAACGTCAACATTCCTGAAGAACGACGCGAATTATCGTGGACGACTCCCACTTTGTCTCATTTAGATCCCCGTACCGCTCAATCTGAAACTGAAGTGCAACGCATATTAGATCTTCAGAGTATATCTTAGAGCATGCCAGATGTTTTCACCGATCTAGCGCGCATGACAAAATCACATATTCTAGCTGCGAATACGCCTACAAAGATGGATGTACCAAATGTACGACAGACTTCCCTCCTGAAGGCCCGGGACACCAATACTGGTGATCCATATACATTAACGGCTAGCCAATCATCTGCCCCTACACAAAAACGTGGAAGACCCCTTGGTTCAAATGATTCACACCCCCAGAAGAGGAAACCCACGACACAAGGTCCTGAAGAGCCTACTGTGAACCCAATAATTGCTTTCTCATTCTATCCAACCCATAAGAAAATTCTAGATTACGGAAACGTCCTTGAAGAGACGAATCCTCCTCCCGAGAATTGTGAGATTTCGATCTATTATGCTAGCTTAGATGATGTGCGGCGTAGAAATGAGATGATTGTCGACGATGCATTAGCATATGCAGTGGCTATTGAGATCATGTTAAGCAATAACATTGAACCGCGTTTCGTTGATGACTGTCGACGTAGAACTGATTGGTCAATTAGAAACAAACAATCCAAGTCGAACTCGATTCATTTGCGAAACGTAAGTGTTTGAACCTGTAGCTCATACTTCTCCACATGTGAAGCCCGTTGGCTACAAGTGGGTTTTCATTCGGAAGCATAATGAGAAGAACAAAATTATGCGTTACAAAGCTTGTCTTGTTGCACAAGGCTTCTCACAACACCCTGGGATTGACTATGACGAAACTTATTTACCCGTTATGTATGTGATTACTTTTCGTTACCTTATCAGTTTGGTAGTTTCTGAAAAATTGGATATGTAGCTGATGGACATAGTAACCGCAAAAGTTTCCGAATAACTTACATTGACTGGTTCAAATATTTCCAAACCTTGGACTAGTCAGGGATATGTGAACAACGAACTATGCCCTTATGTGTTCATTAAGAAATGACATTCCGGATGTACGATTGTTGCAGTATATGTCGATGACATGAATTTTATCGGAACCCCTAAAGAGCTCGCGATAACTGTTACGCACCTGAAGTCAGAATTTGAGATGAAAGATCTATGTAAGACTCAATATTACCTTGGTCTTGAGATAGAGCACTGTTCGAATGAAATCTTAGTACATCAATTGAACTACACCCATAAGGTGTTGCGTCGCTTTAATAAGGATAAAGTGAAGCATTCGAGTACTCTTATGGTCGTTTAATCGCTAGATGCAAAATAAGATCCATTCCATCCGAATGAGGATGATGAAGAAATTTTAGAGCCTGAAGTTTCTTATCGAAGTGCGATAGACGCTTTATTGTACTTAGCTCAATACACTAGACTTGACATCTCATTCGCTGTTAATCTTTTGGCAAGATACAGTAATGCACCAACACGCAGATACTGGACTAGCGTGGAAGACATCTTCTATTATCTTAAGGGTACTACGAATTTGGGCTTGTTCTATCTCTACAGATCATTGAGTGATGTCGCACCCCCTGCTTCTCAAGTCGATTCTCGCTTTGTTAGTTATGCTAATGCAGGATACTTGTCTAATCCACACAAGGCACGTTTTCAAACGGGCTATGTCTTTACCGTTAGAGGCATCACAATCTCTTGAAGGTCAACTAAACAGACTTTAGTTGCCATTTTGTCTAACCATGCTGAAATTCTCGCCTTACATGAAGCAACTCAGGAATGCTTTTGGTTGAGAGGAGTTGTGGGCCATATTCGAAGCTCATGCGACCTTTATCCCGCCGTTAATGTCCCGATGATTATTTTTGAAGACAACGCAGTATGTATCGAACAGCTTAAGAAAAGTTACATCAAAGGAGACAACACTAAGCATATTACGCTGAAGTTATTCTTTTCACATCAACAATAAGAGTATCAAAAGATTGAAGTCACGCAAATCCGTTCATAAGACAATCTGGCCGACCTTGTCACCAAATCAATGTCGAAGACGACGTTTCAGAAGCTTGTTCATGGAATTGGTATGCGTAAACTGTATGAGTTGTAACTTTGTTATTTCTCTTTAGAATTGTGTCAAACTTAGTGGGAGTATCCTGAAGATACTTGCTTGATCTTAATGTACTTTTTTCTCTTATGATTATGAGCATTTTTTCCACTGGGTTTTTGCTACCTAACTAGGTTTTAACAAGGCACCCACCTTAGGCTGGTCATATCCCTAATGACGTCTGTAAACATTTCATTTGACTTTGTATTTCTCACGCATTTTCCTTAGACTATGGATTTTGTCCCTCATCGGGTTTTTGCCATAGCCTTAGGGTTTTTTAGTAAGACTTACTACTTATGCAAATTCCTACCTTATTGAGAATAAGTGTTGTTCTTTAGAATCAATGCCTACGAGTCGACTTCCTCATCTTCTGCATGATGCTAAATCTGCCTTGAGTATTTACACACTTAAGGGGGAGTGTTGTCAACATTCTTAGTTTAAGTGTGATTGTGTAAATCCTATATTAGATTTGATTCTAATTATCTTTTCTTATTACAACTTGTATTATTTGAGGAAGAAGAAATATCTTCTCTCCTTTTACAATTATAAATAAAGGCACAATGTAGAAGGGATAATAACACACATTCTCTTACAATTGTACAAACACATCTCTCTCAATCTCTCTTCTCCTTGCCGCCGGCCACCCTAATCTTGTTAGATAAAATAGGCTATAACACACATATTATAGTTCTCATTTTTCCAGTGGATTTGATTGGCGCGGTAACTATAGAACTTGGGGTGACGTGGCGCGAATCCGGGCCTAATCATCCGACGGTCTGGATGAGCAGTTGCCCTCTATATGTCCCATTCTACTTCACGGTGAAGTCTTTATCCACCTAGTTCGGCAAAGTTTCCGCTTCCACATCTGTCACGATCAATGGCGGTACACTGCCAGTCCTCCGCCGTTGCTCTCTTCGTCTTCCTCCTTAGCCTCACCTCACCTCAAGGTAAAACAATAATTTCTCAACTAAAAGCCCCGAAATTAAACGAACATATTTTTATTTGCGTTTCACTCCCTCAATTTCCATGTGTTTCCGTTTCAGTCTCCGCCGACATGGTGCTTGAAGACGGGTACACCGTCACGACGCTGATCGACGGCCACAAACTCGGCGTCAACCCGCACTCGGTGCTTGCTCGCCCTGGATCGTCCGATCTTCTCGTCCTTGACTCTTCCGGTAGTGCCGTCTACACCGTACCATTTCCCACGCCCGGATCCCAAGGTAAGTTCGAAACGGTAAAAGTCAAACTATCGTCTTCCAATTTCCATGTGTTTACGTTTAACGACGAGTCGTAAAGTTTCAGAGAGTGTGATTAAACGGTTATCCGGCAACGGCGACGGATATTCGGATGGGGAGTCGGGTTCGGCCCGGTTCAAGAAGCCCCGGAGCTTCGCTGTGAGTCCGAAAGGAATCGTCTTCGTCGCCGATAAGGGCAATAGCGTCATTCGAAAGATAAGCGCGTCAGGTGACCTGAGCATCTCTCTTTCTTCTAGGGTTTAACTAGCGTGGCATAATCGTAAATAGTCACTCAATTCTTTGTTTTTGGCTGCACTGCGTGTGTAGGTGTGAGCACGATTGCGGGAGGGTACTCGCCGAAGCCTGGGCGCGAGGACGGCCCTGCTCAAAACGCAACGTTTTCGCCGGATATTGAGCTGGCTTTTGCTGCTGATCAGTGCACGCTGCTCGTCTCTGATCGCGGGAATCAGTTGGTCCGGTTGATTAGTCTCAAGCCGGAGGATTGCTCTGGGACTTCTCCGTCAAGCCACAGTGAGTTTTTTCTCGCTGTTGCAGTAGTTCATTTGGGGATTTGGTTTTATTTTAACAATACAATCATTATGTTATGCAATTTGCAGAGCTTGGTGCAGTTTGGGTCTGGATTTTGGGTATCGGAATGTCGTGTGTTTTTGGAATTGTTGTTGGGATTGTGATTCGGCCTTATATTTTCCGCAATGTAAGGGTTTGATTGCTTGTTTGTGGTGATTTGAATGTCAAGATCGTAACTTTTATCGCAATGTGTCTAATGTTGTTAACTGGAACTTGTTAGACAGGACAAGCGGCTCGGCTCCAGCGCGACGTGGAAGCGCTGCCGAATCTATCCGGGGAAGCAAGTAGCACAGACACTTTGCTTCGCCGTCAGAAGCGCAACTGCTAGCTCAGCCCCTGTTTTGTCGCTGTTGAGGCGGCTGTATCTGTTGGGCATGTCCCATCTTTCTCTTATGTTTAGGATTAACTACGTAGAGGAGTCCTGGGTTTCACCTAAGGAGTGTGTGTCTTTGCTTGATTCCGATGTTGATAACAGTAGTAGTATTTGTTTTGAGATAACAGAGTCGTCCTCCTCCAAGTATGTGGATCAGCTTAAGGAATTGGTGGGTTTCGATGGAAGCCTGGAGCTGCGTAGCATGAAGGAAGGAGACGGTAATGATGGGAGGAGTGGTGTGGTATCTGGCTCCCATGGAAGAATAGAGGGTACGATAGACAGTAATATTATGGGATTTGTGGGGGGAGCTAAAGAAACTCTTCTGGTGGACGGGGCTTCGGGCGGTAATTCGGGTTTAGTTAAAAGGAGATGAAGAGAAAAAACTTGAAGAAAGACATGTTTCATGTGTATTTAGCATACCTCCTGTTTAGAGGCTTGTGTATATTTTGAATCTGTTTTTGTCAGTTATAAATCTGGCTTAAGGCATGTTAGTCATTATCTGCAACCAATCATTTAGGTCCTTTGCTTCTATTTTGAGACTCTGTTTGATCTCCATAAATTTTATGATGCTCTGGAGTATGGGATATTTCCGGTTTTTCTTGGTTCATTGAAAGCTGAGTGTTCTAATTAGAAATACGTTAAAAAATTTATTAAAATCCAAGTGTTTCATAAACATGAAAAGCACCTGGATCTGCGTCCTCTAAAAAAGCATTTCTACGACTTAAAAGCACTTTCAAGTTTTCTGGCAAACTAGTCGTAAACAATTTTGTTGTTCATCACATTTATGACCCTTTCAGAAATCACCTCAAACAAGCGCTTAGTAAAGTATAAAAGAATATCACATTTCTCAGCATAATCAAGTTTGCTAAAGCAATGTGCTACGCTTCTACACCCAAATTTGGATCTCTCTCCCGCTCGAACAAAAAATATTAAAAAAGAACACAACATTCCTTGAATAAGAAAAGGAATTATATTAGAGGGCAAATATTCTTGAACAGGTCATCAATATTTGACCAGAGTGAGATACCTCACATTGCAAAAAAACTGAAAACCTTCCACATAAAACTTACAAGGAATATGGTACTGCCTATAACCTAAATTTGAAGGATTTATATTAAGAATATAACAAGGTCAAAACTATGCTTCTCTCTTATGTATATGATCAATAATAGCCATGGGTGGGTATAGCCGTTCGGATTGATTCAGAAGCGGAAACTGTGGTGATTGAACATGAGAGCTCCATAATCAATAGGCTTTATGACCACAGCTTCACCATTCCCATCCTGCTCCTGAACTGCACCAAACACAACCTCAGTGGTACTCTCACTACTCTGCTCGTAGAAAGTATTTGGGGTTGATGATTGGTACCGATGATAGTGCTGTTGTGGTTGTTTTTGCTGCTGCTGCTGCTGCTGCTGTTGCTGAAGATTATCCCACCCATTATAGAAAACTCGACTTTGCCGCAACTGATGGATTGTTTCTGCATCCTTGGCCATGAATGGGTACGTTTTGCGAGGGGTGGGCGTTCGGGTTTCAAATGAAGGTGGCTCATCCTCATCTGGTATCACATAGCTATCTTGCACAGGCCAGGAATTTGGGTGCTTCTGTTGCTGCTCCTGCTGCTGACTTTGGTATTGATAGTTCAGATGCTTTTTCCTGAAACCTGGAAATATTGCCCCCAGAATTTCCATACCAGATGCCCCGGCATTGACCAAAAGCTTCCCAAGAGATCCTAAGAAGCCTTCTTCTTGCTTCTCCTGCTCATCTTCAGGAATCAAAGGTGGCCTGACTGATTTCAGAGGCTTGTGGTATGAACTTGGAGGAATGCTTGTCTTCATTGGTTCGTGATCCTTCAAAAATGCAATATAAAATGTATGAGAGAATGTTTCATGCTATCATATAACATACTACAAATCTTGATCTTTGGTGTTAAATGGCCGAAACCATGTGTGGAACTTTATAAAGGTATATCAGACTATTGCCGTATTGAAGTTGCAATGTCAGGAAGGTAGTGCACAAATAGTTTTCTCTCAAGTATCAATACTACTTCACAATTTTAAATCCCTAGTCCGCATACATTTCCAGGATCCACTTTTCCTACGAGAATGACGGGCGCAAACCACACAGAGCCAACATCTACCCCAGAAGTAGATGTCACAAAAGTAAATAGATAGAAAAACTGAGTACTCACATTTTGGGAAGAGACAATTGTACCAACTCTACATTGTAGCAATGCTAACATGTAACCAAAGAAGCCAGCCCCAACAAGCATTGCAATCCCTGCAATGATGGAAATCAGTACCCATGTATTTCTACATATTTATTATTTACAACGTTCAAGAGAAAAGATTAGGGTAAAATAAGTTACCAAGGGGGAAGCCACTTCCATATTGATAAGCACAGTCATCGAAATGCAGTTGGATCTCCCTGATTGCTCGATTTCCTCTGTCTATGACGAGCAAGGAGCAGCTGCTTCCAATGTAAACCACATCAAAGTCATCAGAAAACTTTGCATCTTCACTTGGTCCATCCACATGGCTTCCCCCACGGCCCGATTTCCCTCCTGCTATTGTTGTAACCCCTAACAGCGGAAATTTCAATGGCATCAAAATTAAACATCTTCCTCCTAACTTTATTGGAAAACAAATCTTATAATGTTGATGGTGGTGGGTACTAAAATAACAAACTATTGTAATGATTCTTGCGAGAACAAGCATATACGTGTATATTTATACATACAAATATAACTGGGATATACTATACTAGTATCTGTCAGAACAAAACAACGAAGAAAGAGGAAGCAAATCTGCTTTATAATGATATGCTGAATATAAATAAATAAACCAATTCTTAAAAAAATCTAATATAGAAATTACCGGCATTGCTTATCTTCCTGATTGCCATATTCATTGTGTCTGCAACATAAATGTTTCCACTGTCATCAACTGTAAGCCCCTTTGGGTGGTTCATTCTTGCCTCTCTGGTCCTCCCATCTACATGTCCCGGGTGTCCATCAGAGGAACCTGCAACCAGCTTTGGTCTGCTGTCTGCATTGTTCCGATGAAATAGAGTAAACATATTAGAGATATGCAAGCTCTAAACAGTTCAATGTATCAAAACAGGAATACAGGAGCCGATTTTCATAAGGAGAAGCTTGCCCTTCAAACTGTTTAAATTTAATAATGTTTGTAGCATGGAGTAGACTGAAGACATCAACACAATATAGCATGCTTCCAATAAAGATCAAGGCAATCTCCCGTTTAGGGAATACGACTATCAATATAAAAGCAGGATGTTCTGTACTTTTTGGATCCAGAACACATTTTAGTAATATTGCACCCAGGAAGCAAAACCATGAATCAAAGTAAACAGCAAAACATAATAAAAGACAAATTGCATTCGAACAAAACGCAAATACTTGCCAATTAAGACCACTGGCTTCAAAGATTCACTCAAGTACATAAAATTCGTAAAATGTGAGTCCGTCAGTAACTCGGCCTGACAGCAGATTGTTTGAAAATACTTCATAGATTGCAAGTTCAATTAAAACAACAAAGTAATTTTTCAAGGCATTGCACAAGACAAAACCAACTTACACAGAGACAGAGAGGAAGAGATCCTATAGAGGTTGCTATTAGCAGAATCCAAAATCAGAAGCTCCCCACTTGGCAAAACCTCCACAGTGTAAGGCTCAATACCAAGCTTGCTTCCATCAAACACCGTCTCCACATTAAACCCACTTTCAAACTTCATCACTGGACGGCCCGAAACCGCTGCACATAGAAAAATTTCATAAATCCCCAACATTCCAGATTACAACACAATAAACCCCCAAAAACTTAAAAAAACAACAATAAAGTGTGGGTAGCTTCAGAGATCTAGACCTGTTTTGGTAGTTGTTTTGAGTGACCACACCCGTTTCATGAAAGCAGACGCAGCATTTGAGAAAAACCCACCAACGATCTCTGAAAACATACAAACAAACAAAAAAAGAAGCCATTTTTTAATAAAAACAAACCAAAATTCCACAACCAAAGCAGATCGTACAGAAGCTGAGCAGAGTCACATATATACATATACACACACACACACTATTATTGGTACTGTAACAATCTAATTGTCCACTCGAGTATTTTCTTTCTAAATATAGAAAGTCTGGAGAGCACAATATATAAACAATTATACATAAATTCAGGAGTCGCTTACTAGCTGGGGCAGTAGGGGCAGCGGACGATACGCCGCCAAACAGAACCAAAACGATGAGAGTCACCGCCAAGCAACTCCGACCCATCACTCCTTTTCTTCCAGTGCAGCCCACAATACCAAAAAGCTGAAACATTCAAGCTGCCAGCATTGTGAGAAACCTAAATCCTATCTGGGTTTTTGCAAAATGTGGGCGGTAAGAGGCGAGAGATGCTTTTTCCTCAGATGGTTTCTGGGTATGGAGCAAAACCCAGTGTGCTCCTCGCGAGTGCAAAAGTGACTGTGTGAAAAGATAAAAGAGACAAGGATGAAAAAGGAGAAAGGAAAAAGACAAAGGGGGCGAGAAAGAAAGAAGGAAAGAATTGAAAAAGCAGAGATGCAGTGACGGACACTGAATCCGGATCGCTCAATGCCTCAGTGGGGAGGGGGGAGTGGGGACTAAAGAGTGAATGGTGAGAGTGAAAGAATCATGTTCTATCAAGGATGTGAGAGTGATTGTGTCATGAATTTATTATTTTACTATTTTTTTATTGAGATACTTTATTTTAATTTATTCGACCCTAAGATATGACATATTACGTTGTCTAGCTGGAAAGATTTTACCGTGATAACTCATCTAAAACGGAAGTGTCAAAAAATATTTTAAACATATCACGTGCCATTACTTTCTCATATGGTATGCCTATTTAACTGAAGAATTATAAAGAGAGATAGAGGGTGATGGTGCAGAGGCAAGAGAGGAGAGAGAATGTGAATTATTTCAGCCATTGTACCTTTGTTTATAATAATCCGGAATAAAGAATCTTGTCTTTTAAGTAATATATCTGAAACATGAAGCCATCTAACAAAATGTTATAAAATCCCAATAAAATTTACACAATAATATTTTTAACTAAATTAAGACTGTAAAATAAATAGTTTTTTTTTCTTTTCTCTTTTTCTTTTTATAAATACAACTAATCATGCAACATTTATTCGCCACCTAAATCCTCTCCACGTCCCTTTCTTACAAAATAATTTTTTATTAATCAGATCCGACATGTTATTATCGTTGTTTGTAGTTTACTTGTTATTATTAATGTTTGTTAAGCGTTGTGATTATAATTTAAACATTATTACTACAAAAGGATGTGTGACTGCAATTAATATTATTGACGGGCTGATGTCACCAACTCTTCTAAGGAAACATAGGCCCATTTTCGGGCCCAACAATGTTAGATTGCAAATGGAAATCTTCACCTACCCAGCCTTGTGCTTGTATCCAACAATCCTACAACCATAGGGCGGTCGAGGACTAGGCAGCCCACCAAACGCAGGGTTAAAAATTTAAAAGAAAATTAATGAAAATAGTTTAAAAAATTTGAGTTTTAACGATAAAGACAAAATAAATAGTAAGATGAATAGTACCATGATTGACTTTTTAGTGTAAAAATATGGTTTTTCGTTAAAATGAACAATACCGAAAGCTTTTCATTAAAATTCATTTTTAAAGATTTGTAGTTTAAGTGATTAATAACATTTATTTATGTATTCGAAGTTTAATGTTTCTATGAGAAAAGAAAAAATTGTGATGGACTGTTGACCAGACTTTGCGTTCGACTCCTAAAAAGTAAAAAGTGAAGGTTGGGTTGGATCATTCTTAAACGTTGGGTGGTACTATCCACATCCCGTATTTTACTTTTCAAATACATTTCCCTTAATTTTTGTTTGTCAGGTCAAATAAATTAAAAAATATCAAACGATAGAAATTAACAAAAAGTAATTGAAAGATAAAAATATGTGTGAAGATAACACCGTCTAAAAGTTTCTTCGACCACCTAACTTTCCCGCCATTAATTCTGAAGATTGGACTGGTGATTTTGGAAGGCAGCTACATTCATGATACAGGCTGGATTGTCCTCTTCCTGTCTTTAGAGTTTGTCGCTATTTGAGAACCTAACTTTTCAATTCCGTGTCACAAATATTATCCTCATATTTCACTTTCGACCGCGTCCAATGCGTATTCGATCATATACACGTATGGCACTTAGGTGGCTCCAATTAACCCGTTAATCTCCCGTACATTCAATCGGGTCAACAAATTCATAAATTCTTGAGCGTACATTCAACCGTTTTTACAATGTACGTACACCATTCGAAAAGGGAGACATTTTGATATAACTGAAACAGAATTTAACAATTAGGCATCGAGGATTGTATTATATCATTAGGATGGATCGAACCAGACATTACCTATTGCGACCGAAGCAATGTATCTATACAAGTTAAAAGGTGCCCACGAATGATGAAAAACAGTAAAAATCCGGTTACTCTATTTTACCGGGCACCGATAAATACCATAGTATGTCACCATGTACAAAACAAGATTGGTAAAGTCCGTGATCCCGACATATACTCAAAAGTTACCGTCTTCATACTCGTATCGAACCATTTCCGAGGTTAAAGAGAATCCCAAACTTCCTCCTGAACTTCCAGTATACAGTGACTGTTCAAATCAATAGACACTTTCGAAAGAGACCTGGATATGGGGGAGATGCTTCGGCTTCGGGGTCGAAGCAGTTGCAAGGCCTTGAAGTAACTTCACAACATCGCTGACATCATCGAGATAGTACTTGGCCTTGCTTTGCTTTCTTCCGACAGTGCAGGCAAATATCTCGGGTGGTGAAGGCAAAGATGGACTAGAGACCGTGCTTAATACGCTCTCGAACATGTCCTCGTCGGATCTGTCATCCCCAATGCACATCACAAAGTCGGGGGCCTTCCCGTCGTTGGCCATTCTCGAAAGAATTTTTTCAGCAACCAATCCTTTGCTTACTCCCTGCATGTAACAAGGCATTGGTGAAACAAATTACACCGGGATTGTGTTTGCGTAAGTGTACATGTGCATGTGAGGAGAGAGACCGTGTGAAAACAGTTTTACCTGTGGCTTAACTTCAACTATATGCTGGCCCCTCTTAACAACTGCTGGTTCGTTCGAAAGAACATTTTCCAGATGATCCAACAATTCCTTGGCTTGACAGGATCCAAAGTCGGGGTCTGCATCTTGGTGATGCCATACCAAAGCGCTTTCTTTACTTTCTATGTTGGAGCCATCCGTTGCCTCTGTATACAATCTCATCACAGGCTCCACAATTTCTTTCCAATCAAGATCGGCACCAACAGGACTGGTCTCCCACTCGGAACTTCTATTCCACCTACACCAAAGAACAGAGCAAAATTACATAGTTCAGTTTGAAAACCTATCAAAGGGCTAGCTGAATATTCAGAATATAGCATATTACAAACATACCTTAGAAAGTACCCATGTTCAGCAGCAATTCCAAGCGTCTCACACGAGGCAAACCAATCACTCAGAGAAGTCCTTCCCCTCCCACTAACAATGAAAACTGTGTTCTTTGGATCCTTGCACAGGGAATTCATAAGAGCAAGGACTTCTGGGCTTGGAGACTTAATAATGGAAGCTTCAGGAATAATGGTACCATCATAGTCCAGAAATATGGCCCTTCTATTTGTTCTTTGGTATGCTGAAACAATATGGTCTATAGACAACTTTCTAAAGTTTGGAGAGAGTGAAACAACTCTAAACCTCAAGCCCAATCCAATGCCCCAACACCGTTTACTATAATGATCTCGGCACGCTCTATCCAAGTCCTGTGCAAAGCTTCGTGCCCAATAAGCCACATCATGAGAACTAACATAACGATAGTGTTTTTCATGACGTAACTGCTGCTCTGATTTAGACATGGTGATCGCCAAGTTCAAGGCATCAGCCACGGCATCAGTGTCCCAAGGGTTAACCCTGATTGCTCCACTTAAAGAAGGTGAGCAGCCAATAAATTCAGACACGACAAGCATGCTTGTCTGAGGAGAATCTGCTGTCATGCCTAAAGCTGTATTCATGGGTGGAGTTCCCTGCCGGCAAACAATATATTTGTAAGGAACTAAGTTCATTCCATCCCTCACAGCATTCACTATACAGCATTCTGCTACAGCATAATACGCTGTCTTCTCGTATTGAGGAACATGTCGATCAATCAGAACCACTGGTTCATAATTAGGTGAACCATAAACCTCATTTATCCTTCTGGCAGTTAAGTATGTCTCACTCTTTGCTTCCTGTACATCTTTCCCCGATCCCCTTGCGGGATTTATAATTTGAACCAGGACTATGTTGCCCTGCAATTCTGGATTCTGCTGCAAGAGTTGTTCCAAAGCTATAAACTTTAAGCTGATTCCTTTAAATATATCCATGTCATCAATACCAAGAATCAATTTTTTCCCCTTATACTGCTCTTGAATCTCTTTAATTTTGGAAGTTGTATCGGCAAGATTCAACACAGATTCAAGCCGACCCATATGAACACCTACAGGCAGAATTTTAATGTACACTGTGCGGCCACAATAATCAAGCCCAATATGTCCTCGCTTTGATTCATAGTCCAGCCCCAGCATTCTACTGCAGCATGAGAGGAAGTGACGCGCATAATCAAATGTATGAAACCCAATGAGATCGCAGTTTAGCAAACCCCTCAAAATTTCATCACGGACCGGCAAAGTTCGATAAATTTCGGATGAGGGAAATGGGCTGTGAAGGAAGAATCCTAGCTTTACTCGATAGTACCGCTTCCTCAAAAACGTTGGGAGAACCATCAAGTGATAGTCATGAACCCAGATACAATCGTCCTCGGGATTAATAACTTCCATCACCTTGTCTGCAAATATTTTGTTTGCAGATACATAGGCCTGCCACAGTGAGCGATCAAATCGCTCGCCGTGGTCTGGACACATGGGCAGCATGTAATGGAAAAGAGGCCATAATTGCTGCTTGCAGAACCCCAAATAAAACTTCTTCTGGAGATCACTGGGCAAGAACGTTGGTACACAATTGAACTCCTCCAGCAGTTTCTGTGCGACTTCTTCTTGTTCACTGGTATCAATTTCAGCCTTGAGAGACCCCACATAAACAACCTCATTTTCAGATGAAAACCCATCCTTCAACTGTAACAAAATTGAATCCTCATCCAAACTGAAACACCATTTCTTCGTTTGTGGATCCCTTTTAGCATGTAATGGTAAGATATTTGCCACAACAATTTTCCTCTCACGACAGGCAGATGAACTAGCATCTGAATCGTCACCATTGCTATTACTATCCACATCAGATATAATACCAGGAACAGTCATCACCCTTGGAAGAGCCCTTGGAGTACAAGGAATATCCAAAAGGCCTCCAGATGCCAAATCAAAAAGGTTTGCGCAGGATCTTGACGCCATGACTGCTACAATTCCTTCTTACTTGAATCATACAGATTAACACAGCACTAGATGAGATTTTCAACTGTCAGAGTAGTCTACAAACCTACACAGAGCCAAAAAATATGAAAGAGTGATCATATCATTGAATTGCTGCCACCGAATAAATCCATTTCCACGCCTACGACAAATAAAGC